GAAATCAATTATACAGCAGGTTTCAGTGGATGCCAATACAGACCAGCACTGAATACTTTTTAACCCTTTAAGTTTAACCCATAAGTTTTCCTGTACCCTCTATTATGAAATTTATTTTCCATTTGTAAAGTGCTTTGATAACTGTGGATAAAACCAAAAAACAAGTGTAACATATTTAAAGCTTATGTTTTCTTATAAATCCTATTTTCTTTTTTAATCATATAGTGCTTATCCCCACATGCTAGAGAAAGTAATTTTCTTCTTCTGCTAGAGATAGTAGTTGTGGGCATACTATGATTAAAATATATTCTGTTCTAAAACTTTAGGACAGACTTTAGGTTTTTGGTTTTGTATGTCATGTAATTTCCTGCCAGTAGCATTTCACTTGTTTAGTGCTTTACCATAACAGAAACATCAGGATGTGGTTTTGATTGGCTTAAGCACATGGAGAAGCTACCGAAAAAACTTCAGCCAGTTTTGGAGCCGAATTTCAGTGCCTCTGCAGAAACTCCTGAAGAACTCAGTCTGACTGAGACTGAGCAGGTGAGAAAAAAGTTACTGCTATTCTTGTTATCTTTGTGAGCACAGCGAGTCTAGGGATTGCGAGATAAAACGCAGGGTTGGTGGACTTAAAGAGGGATGTCAAAATAGCTTGAAATCATATCTATTAAAGATGTTATTCAAGAGGACGATAGGTGCGCGTTAAGAAAATGATTGATTTATTTGTACCTTCTCCTGTTGCCCTCGTTACAAATCTTTAAATTGCTGGAAAAACCGAGAATTATTTGAAAGTTATTTATATGGCAATATTTTTTCTCACTAAATAAAACCTGTATGTAATCAGATATTTTATGGATGAAGTAAAAAATAAATTTTGGTTAGCAACATAGAAAGAACAATATTCCTCGGCTTATATTTCTCAGTCTGAGACCTTTCTCTCTTGCTGTTACCAGATCAGCCTTGGAGATAAAATGGCAGATGCTCTGGAAGATGCATTCATTCTGTTTGGACATATCCCGAGCTACCCTCCAGCCAGACTGCTTCCTTCTTGCTCTGAGAAGCTAACTAATGATGTGACAAGTAAGGACACCAAAGATGAAGAACACTCCTCTCTCTTTAAGGAACAAACTATAAATCTACCAGCAAAGGCTTTGCCTATTTCCGTGGTTGAAGCTTTGATGATGAACAAGCGCCAACTTACTTTGTTAGAACCTGAAAGCCACCACATGCCAACTGTCACAACACTGAAGAAAGTGATGAGCCTCAATTTCAATGAGGTAAATACCTCATTTTATTCTGATGGCCTTTTACATGTTTCAGAAAGAGGCTTTTCAGATAAGGCTTTTGCAGTTCTTCATGGAAAGACGCCTTGCACTGCATTCACATTCCTGTTAGAAAAACATGATGTGGAAAGGTATCAGCAAAATAAGCCAATTCTGTCAAAAAGCATAAGTGAAAATAAAATTGTAGATAAAGATGTTAATGATGGAAAGTATCAACAAAAAATCTTTAGAGGGAGAGCTAAAGGAGAAGAAATGAAGGATGAGAAAGCCCAACCAGAAAAGATGGCCTGTGCTCTTGAGGAAATAAGCAAAATTTTAAATAAAACTGAGTTGATCAGGCCTGGAAAACAAGGAATGGATCCCAAGCACAGTCTAGGTAGCCCACAAGGTGTACAAAACACATGTGCTGATTTTAAAGACCTAAACAAGCAGTCTGAAGGGAGTTCTGGATTAATGGAGAAACAAGGAAACCTCTCAGAAATCTGCATCCCTGATGAAGTGAATAGGGTATACAGTGGAGGAGATATAATCAAAACAGAAGAGAAAGGAGAACAATCTCAGAAACCAACTGAACAAATAAACCCCTCAAGAAATGGACTGGAAGATAAGAAAGAACAGGCCCTGAATCTGTGTGACCCAAAAAAGAATTCCTCCCATCAAAAAATGGCTGCTGAAAGATTGCAATGTGCATACCCTCAGAAAGCTGCGTGCTTGGAGGAAGAGACGTATCCACTGAACATTTCCTCTGCTATGCCGGAGAGGGATGTGAGCTTAAGGAGAGTGTTAATGCTAGAGAGTAATTTTTATGAGTATTTCTGTCATGTAGCATCACTGGAAGCTGATAATGAATGTAACGTGAAAATACGTGAACTAGAGAAAGACGTGGCTACGTGTTCTCAGAGGATATTTCTACTGATGCAAGAGAATGCAAATTATTCAAAAAAAGTCTGTACGTTACAAGAGGAGAATGAGAAATGTGCTCAGAAGTTATGTGCACTGGCAGAGGAGATGGATGCATATTTTCAATACATTTTGGCAGCAGATGAAGCTAACATTTCTTTCCAAAACTTACTTAATGAGAAAGAAATTGCTGATGAATGTTGTAATTCCGTTTCAGAAGAGAACACCATCAGCCCAGAAATCATTTGTGCTGAAACCTTTTCTAAGAACCTCTCATGTGTTGAAGCGAAAAGTAGGAATTCTGGAATAGAATTGTTGATGATGGAATCAAATAAACTTCCCAAGAGTGTTTTATCCCTGGATGGAAGGAAGAGGAGATATTTCCAGCTGCTTTCTGACCTGAAAGAGGAAAGAAATAGATGTTTCAAAGACATAGCTAAACTCTTACAAGACAAGGAGAACTATATAGCAAAAAATAATGAATTAATAAAAGAGAGAGAGAAAAATTTACAAAGAATATCTCTTCTAGAAGGTGAAAAAGAAGCTTTATTAGGAAGTTTGGCAGACATAAAGGGTGAACAAGAGAAATACAGGACCTTGGTTTCAGAGCTTCAGGAGTGCAGAACCAACTGTTACCAAACAATTTCTGATTTACAAGAGGAAAAATGTGTACTGAAAAGAGATATAGACAGAATCAAGAAAGAAACTTCAGAACAGCTTTTAGAACTTCAGAAAGCAAATACAAATTTCATTTTAGAAAATAACAGATTGAAAGAATTAATGTCTTATTTGGGTTTCACCTATGAAGAGCTGAGAAAAGATAAAAATATGGGAACAAAGGAAAAGATAGTAAAACTAAAAGAAGAAAATGTAAGTCAACAACATGATGTTAAGCCAAAGAAAGTTGAAACAGCATGTAGTGTAACTCAGACTGAAGAAAAAGGAGTTCTGGTTGTAGATCCTTCAGACTATTTCACCAGAAAAGAGGTAAATAGTAACAATAAGGAATGTTTTCAAGGCTCTTTTAAAAAAAGGGGGAGATCTAAATGCCATTTGGAGAGCAAAGCTAAATTAACTTTGGAATATAGAAAATGCTGTAACCTCCCATGTTCTGGGGTTCTGAGGTGCTAAAGTCAGCTTCGAAATGGATGGCAAATTACCAATTCACATGTATCTTGTTCTGTAAAAATCTGTGTGCTGTTTCATGTGCGTGAGAGGAGTCACGTCTTTTTCTGTCGTGTAACCAGGGCAGCACATTCAAAAGCTACAGTATGATGAAAGAGCAACTGGAAAGGGCAAAAGAAGAGCTAAAAATGCAACAAAAGGAATTAGAAAAATCAAAAAAGGAGGTAACCTTCTACTCTGATGTATTTCTGAGAAGCAAATTTGTTTTTTCCCTTATTTTCTTACATGGCTATTCTTCTTTCTGCCAGCACTTAACACTGTTACTAAGAGGGAAGTCTCTGATCTGCAGACCTAAAATGTATCTCTTTGGTCTTTCAGTTAAATGAGGAATTGCACAGTCGGTCATTGTTGGCCAAAATTTTAGGTGAAGTTGCATTCCTTCAGCACACTCATGACAGAAGCGCAGTGCTTAATAAAAACACATTGCACAAAATATCTGTTGCAGCCATCTCTGGGCAGACTGCTTCCCTCCCCTTCATTAGGAATTAATATCTGAAAGGAGTAGAAGCATTGAGCATTATGGCAATCCTGAATTTGAAATAGTTTTTGAATAAGAGGCAAAATGATGTAAAATCTGACTATATCAAGGGATCGTGCAATATCCAGTGACAGCTCAAAGCATGAGCATCGTCCCTTCTGTCAATGACTGTGCAGTAAAGATGAAGCCTCACACCATCTCTGTGGAAGCTCTAATTTGGATGGCTAGTTCTCTGCCTGTGCGAAGCAAATTTGCAGTTTTAATGCTAACCAAGGAAGGTTTCTGGGTTATGTCTTGCCTACCACCTTGGCTTTCACGTTCCTGCTAGTCTCCTCTACCTGCTTAGCTGAGCAGCATGTATTACTGTAATGGCAAGCTTATATATACGGGGATGTGTCAAGCAATAACAGGCATTGCTCAAACTCACTGAGGAAAATATTATCTTGGGTCCTTCTAATGCTGTTTTTTTGATATAAGGGAAAGAACAACTTTCTCACATTACTTAGAAGAATGTAAAGCCTTTCCTTTTGGAAGGGAGAAGAGATAGATCTTACTCATTTCTTATAATACTGTATATCATGTAATTCCATTTTCTTCATTCAATTTACAACAATTTAAAACTTGTGACATTGAAATCAGCCTCAAGGTTGTAAACTGGTATTGAGAAATGAAACAACTGCTAGACCAACTACTTTCAGTAATTTTGCTTTTTTACTCCTCCTGATAGGCTCAGAAGTGGTACAGAGAGCTTGGCTTTGCAGAAACAAGATATGAAGAAATGAAAACACGTTTGACACAGGTTCTTTCAGAATTAGATCAGCTTAAACAAGAAGCTGGGGACAAAATTCTTGGAAAACAGCACTGCAAATTAGTGGTATGTATGTAAATTGCAGGGAGGAAAACCTTTTGGAGAGGATATTCGGAGAGGATCTGTTTAAAGGATGACAGCTGAAAAGCACAGGCTCTGTTTGGGTGTTCTAGACACCTCCATGCTGTGTAAGAGGCACTTAGAAAGTTTTGCTGCCTCTGGCCGGAGCCTCTTTCTGAGGTATGGATTTTCAGGTGGGCTTATTAAAGGGTGCTTCAGCCTCGATAAAGGTTTTATTTTTTCCACCAGAATGAAGTGTTTTACGAAAAGAGTTTTAGTTATTGAATAGTCCAATGTCTCCTGGAAGAAGTTTTCATAAAAACTTTGCAGCTAGCCCCCAAAATATTTCAATCCTTCTTGAAAGGAGAATTACAAAGAGGAAATATGTAACGTTTTTCAGATGGAAAAACAGTTTTGAAACAAACTACAATATTTACAAGTTTAGTTTGAATGCATGAGATAAGGCTTTAGAAAAAAATAAGAACAAATTCTGGAAAAAGTAAATAATCTGACTCAGATCAGCTGAGTCAGAATATCACTGTTTATACCATGTCAGTTCCTTAGGTCATCCTAGCTGAGGGCACAGTCCCCTACAGGCCATCTGCAAGTCCCATGCACTTATCTCAGATTATCTTGTGCTCCTTACCTGGTATTAGGTACCAATGTTTAAGGAACTGAATTCTGACCTCTACCTGAAAATGAAACACAGACTTCTTAATCTCAAAATGATGTATTGGGATGTAGCATCTCAAAACTTAGTGAAATTTATAAATTTATGAAGGAACTTATAAAAATTTATAAGGAAACTCCAGATTGTTTTAAAACGAATGCAAGTTTATCATGTTGTTTTGGTTAAGGAAACACCTAAGCTTTTCAGAGCTTTTTTGGGCAATGGAGATAAACCCTTTTGGCTGGGGACAATCTGGGGCAATTACTACTTATTTTATGGTGACCGAAGTAAGGTATTAATTATTTATATGACCCACATGGGAATATAAATTCATTAATCTTCGCAGAACTTTTGTGTACTGGAAAAAGTGCAGGTCAGCCTTTCTTCTGAAAAGTCATTTTTAGATCACTTCAGTAACTAAATTTTTCATTTTAGGGTATTTTGTTGTCTGATATAGATCTCACTTCTTTGTCTAATTTAAATCGTTATTGTAGGTTGATATCAAATTCCGTGCTTCAGCACCCACCTATCTTCTTCTGGTATTAAAGATGCAGTGTATGTACATCACAGAACTGGGTTTGTCCTTCAGTTACAATATTTGATGATACAGTTAATTATTTGCGTGACATAAGTCCATGATATCTTGACCAAAGGATGTTCATTTGATTGGCAAAGTTATGCGAATAGCAGTACAAATAGGAAATGGAGTGGGTATACTGGAGCAAAGAGTATGACTTTGTTTCAATATTTATCTTTTAAAATAAACCTGTTAATAAACATCAAGCTGTCAGTTGTGGGTTGGTGTGAAATCCTTAAAATGTGACCTAAATTTTTCTAGATAAAAAATAAATAAGAATTTTGACACAATGACTGCCATGAACTACTTTGCTAGCATCATTTTTCTTCCTGAGGGCAGTTGTGTGAACTAATAGTCATGCTCTTATTTGCAGTTAGTAGTCACCCTATCCAAAAAGTTCTTTTCATCCCACAAAGATATTAATACAGTATGATACTGTAAATCATAGTCATTTATACTTTCTCCTGTTCTAAACTACATTTAGTCGACATCTTCTGTTCCCAACGCTTGAAAGAAATGATGATGTGTTTTTCCAGATGTAGAACCTAGACTGTGAAGTCTTTGAGACATGTTTCAAGTGTGTCTTTTAGGAGTTTGAAGATATTTTATGTTCTGCAGCCCCTGACACCAAGGGATCCTAGTTCTTGTCTGAGACTCCAAAAAGCAGATATACATTGCAAAAAAAGAGAATCAAGATAATGTACACCAACTAGGACTCTCTCTTTCGATGGTGTTGCTCACAGAGGAAGCACCATTTAGCACAGGAGTATTTGGGGAAATCTTCTGGGATGCTAAGGTAGCTTTCTGAACTGTAGTGTTGTAGTAGGAGTTGCGAAATATATGTGGGGGAGCAGGAAGGGAGCAGGTTATTGTTTTACAGCTTTGAAAATCAATACAAGAATTTTGGATAAAATGCATACAATAAATGAATTGCCAGACCTCCCCAGCAAACACTAGGCTCCTGTCTTGGCCTGTAGCCACAAAATCAGATTCAGTCTCATTTGTTTTTTGAGTTTTCAAGTGAGCTTGCTTACACAAGAAGAGGAAGATATTTTTAATGTTTAGGCATCAACGTTAAAGGCTAGAGATCTTGCCGGTTTTATAAGAACTCAGTGTGTTAAGTGATAAATTTTGGGTTTAGTTATCCTTTAGTGTATTTACCAGACCTAGCTTCTGTCCTTCACTCTTCTGGAGCGTGGCTGTAAAACCAATGGCTTTTGTTCATTGGGGCATCTGAGAAAGTGATCATAAATTAATACTATTTCCTTCTTTTCTTTCTTGGAACTATGAAAAGATCCTGGCAGGTTAGCAAAATAGAAAAGGAAAGAGGGAACCTTTGTCTTTGAACTGTAAGCAAATTTTTTTCCACCTCTTTCTTCATTGAGCCTCTTCAGTCAGGGATTGTTTCCGTTTTTGTTTTCAGCTTTTCTTTTTTGGATTTTGATTTTGTGTAGGAATGAAAAGGATGAGGAAAATACCATGTCTCAGACAGTACTCAGGCTTTGTCAGTGCAACCCTGATGTAGTCAATCTTGATATGTGTCCAACAATTATTATTGTTCTTTTCTGTTAACACAAGAGGGAGCCAAAATTTTGATACAAAGCATGCTCTGGCTTATTAGAATACTATGCATAGAGGACTTCTTTCATTAAGAAAAACAGTATGAAAATATCATATTTCTATTTTTAGTTTGTGTTGCAATGGTGTGTTGCTATCAGTGTGGTATCAGTTCAGCTTGCTCCCTGTGAAATTGGGTACTGGTACCTTTAGTATATTGTAGTCACCAAGAGTGTCAACATTTTCACAAAACCAGGGAAAATTAAACAGTTGCTATGCATCGTGGCTGAACAGTAGCTCTTCTTCCAGCTCTATCAATGTTAACATCTGCTAAAATCAAAGCATCTTCCTGCGTCTTTTGTCAGAAGGTTATATGGTTTTACTGCAGTGTATCACAGGTGTGACTAGAATTTTTAGCTTAGTCATTGCAATGCTATAATCTCTTCAGACTTATGTATATAGCGTGTTATAGTAAAGCTTGAACAGCTGTGTTTTTCAATTCAATGTTTTTTTTAATATAAGGTCAAAACAACAGAAATGTCTCTGACAAGACTTTCGTTGCCCTTAGATTTTCCTCATTCTTAGACTATACATTTAACCTGATAGTATCTCTTCTAGGAGCTGACCTAGTGACGCTGGCCATAAATCTAAAGCTCTCACTAATCCTTTCAGTCTAAGAGCATGAAACTGAAAAAAGCAGAGTGGGGGAGTGGGAGTTAAATTCAGAAGATCCTCCTTCTCCTTGTTCTATACCGCTAATACTACATTTAATGTAATTAATATTTCCTTTTTTAATATTAAATATGAAATCTATACTTAAAATCTGGTTAATATTAGTAGCCTTCCAAAACAAAAAATAACTGTGAGAGTGGAATTTACTCTCTAAGATAAATATATGTGGAAAGCAAGGGACCTATTATATAGAAGTTGGAGCAGGAGACTAGGGACTTTTGAATTCTATTCTTACTCACTATGTGACTTTAGGTTAGTCAGCTAATCTGTCTGTGCCCCAGTTTCCCCAGGTCTGAAATGATTATAATACAGTACTTACCTTGAAGGGGCATTGTGAAATCCCAGTCCTATACCTACCCTCACAGAGGATCGAGAACTCCTTGCTCATAAACAGTTTTAAGATTAGTGCGAAACGTTAATGCTAATATGTTTTTGAATCTTTGAAGTCATATAATTTATACCAGATTAAAAATATTTGTGACATACAAGGTAGGTATGTATGTTGAGAAATTTAGTGCCCAAAAGCATAATTGATAATATTTTTATTAATTTATACATCTAATTTGAAAATCTATATATTTGCTCTCTAGCCTGTGCACAATGTGAGAGAAGCCCAAGAAATGGTGGAGAGTAAAATAGCCAAAAAGAGATTAGAGCAGCAAGTGCTGACCTTGAAAGCCCAGCTCAGGGACCAGGCTGCATTACAAAATCAGTTTCAAGATTTGCAAAATGAAGTGGAAGTGCTTCAGGCTCAGCTATGCGAAAAGGTACAACAAAGCTCTTTTCTGTGTGCCTAGACTTAGAGGTGAGCTTAGACTTCAGATTCTACTTTATTCTTCTGAAATGAGAGCCAGAATGTTCTTCTTCCTTGAATGGGTCTGGAGATAATTAAATGGTATGCAGGCCTATAAAAGTTACCCTGTCTTCAAAGAAATAAGGGAAAGATGTAAAATGCCTGCATGGTCAACACGATGGCAAAACGGTAGTCCCTTTATAAAGAAAGTTGTTGCCAGGGTCTGCTGTAATCCCCACAGCCTAATGCTAGCAAAGTGGCGCTGAAATTCTTAGCTGAGCGGTCTCCTTAGTTAGGAGTGAGGATTAATTGTCAGGATTTTTAACATTCCCAATGCTCTTGACACACTATATAAGATTAGGAGAGTGAGCTAGTGATAGAGTTTTGGACAACATATTTTTTGGTCTAGCTGTTAGGGTTACATGTTAAGAATTTCTTACCATTTTCGGTTAGGTGTGTGGTTTATATGTATATATATGTATGTATGTGTATATTTGTGTGTGTATGTGTATGTGTATATATATGTTTTTAATGACATAGTTACTCTGGGGAGAGCCTGCATGTATATGCAAATATACTTACACAAGCAGTTTTGATACTTCTGGCTTGTATTTTACCTGCTAAACGAGGGCAGGTACATACAAGAGATACTGCCTTAATTGTCAGTGAAACTACAGCTGCTAAACTGTCAGGTGGAGACAAATTCCTGCTATGACTTTATTCCCCTTAGAAGGGTGGTACCGTTTTCCCCCTGTTTTATTTATTTGGAAACGATTTTTGGGAAATGGATGATTGTTATAATGTGAGCTAAATGGGAACTGCTGATCATGCTGTGAAACAACTGCAAGCTAAGCAGTTTTCTAAATAGTTTTTACAATGTGTAGAACGTGCTCCTCCTCTGTCTCTTTTGTCAAGCACAAGAGACAGTTTTCTTCTACCTATTGAACACAAGTTTCATCCTACGTCCTCCACAATAAATCCACCTATTGTACAGTTTTATTATTTCTAGCCTTGTCATGTACAGTGATTTACTTTTAGCCAGGCCTGTACAGGGGATTAGTGGCTCCTCTCAGGAATTGATTAGGATGCCTCTGAGCAGAGCGGTGGTAGTAAAATGGGAGTGTTTTGTAGCGTCTGTTGTCTCTGCTGATGGATGGTGTGCATCAGAAGGCAGGTGAATAAAGGGTGAAACGTGCTATCCACATAAATAGGCAACTCCTAATTGCATCAGCCAAGTGTTTTGCTCCATGCCTTGTCAAGACTATAATGTCTCCACTAAAGGGACCTATGGCCAGCTTCCGCTTTGTTCCCTCATTGCTAGCACAAGGTAAAGCACAAGGTCTCTCTCCTCTGCTATCTGCTACATTCCTTCCCACGCCCGCAATTTATTAGCTGAGGAACGGGAGACCTCTTTCAGCATAACCGAATTCTCATGGAGGGAGTCTTGTGTTTGATGCACGTGATATATTTACTGAAGGCTTTGTAGAAACATAAATTGTCAGATAAAATGAATATAAATGAATCTGTACTTTAGTGCCAAATAATACTGTGTTGAATCATAACTCAGATAGATTTTTATCTAGCAGATTACTGTTTCTTTTCCTGCATAATTGGAAAATAGGTTTCCCATGAGCAATAAACATTTTAATCTTAAGGTACAGTTCAGGCTGTCTGGTTCATTTCATAGTAGAGGACATGCATCGACCCTGGCAGAGGGGTAGGAAGCCCTCAATGTACGCTTTTGAAAGCATGACATGAAGTATATGTGGAGAAAATCCCTCCTTGTTTCTTGCATTCTGCAACATAATATAGATGATAAAAGGGAAAATTGCTCCCCAAAGGAGTAGTTTGGAAGATTCACAGAGCAGATGAGAATATGAATTTCATAATGAAGGACTCCAGGTCTTTAATGTGGTGCTTGCTTTGATGAAATAACATCAGTGGTGTAAGCTTCCATCTAAAAATGTCCCAAAGCGTTTGGTAATACATAATGCCAGCATTAATGCTGGGGCAGTGTTTGAGTGTAAGGGCCTATTGGTGTGTAAACAGTGTCTTAGGCTGCTTTATGTTATGCTCTTTGTGATACAGGGTCACAAAAATATGCAAAGTGTATGCCTTGAAAGTCAGGTCTAAAACAAATATCAAAAAAGTACAATAGTACTTTAAAATGACTCTTGAATAAATTAAAGCAACAAGTTTTTTATTCTGTCAGGTGAAAGAACTTCAGAAGCAAAAGAGTGAAGCAAAGTTGACACTCGCTCCTCTGAAGGTAGTGTATTTTGCTGAAAACTTATGGTTTATCTCCTTGGTTACAGGACTTATTTATTTTTAAGTGTTTCATAGCCCTTCTGTGTGTGGTGTATGTGCCTGCTTTCTGGAAATGCCACTGATTTAGGCTGCTTGTTACTGGGCTTTCACAAGGGTGAGCTGGCAAAGCAGTATTTGGCCATGTGTACTCTTCAGCTCGTCAACAGGGACTTCACACATGGGAAAGTGAATATCTCTTTCCAGCTTACTGTGTATTGCTGTAGCAGGGTGCAGAGGTGCTGAATGGCCTAGAAACATAGGAATGCAATGTATAACTTTGGGTCAAAATGTGCAGAATTGCATCAGACACAGCATATAATCTCACAGTTTTCAACAGGGAATGAAATCAACCTGTATGTGTTTGTTCTGTGTAGGCTAGGCTGGCTTGCCTCATCCGAAAGTGCCAGGAAAGGAACAACTTAATTACTAGGATGCATGGAGAGTTTCACAGGCAAGGAATTATTAGCTCAACTTTTGAAGAAGAGGTGAAGAAGTTGGTGAACGATGTGGCACTGGCAGAGTATGCAATTGCTTTTACACCGTTGTGCAATCAAGAGGTAAATGTTTGTACTTCCTTGTAGGTCCTCTGGTTTCCACTGTTGTATCAAGTCAGTGATTTTTTTTTTTAAGTGTTTAGTGACACTCAGTGTGTAGTTAACATAATATATGCTTAGGCACTTATAAAAATTGCTTCAGGCATGGCAGTGGAGTTGTCTGTTTAGCTGCAGTTTTGTCAGGGTGTAATCTGCTGGAGTTTGTCACAAAGTATGTCTGTTCTCTAAGCAAAAACCACATACGCAGTAGTCTGACCGCAGTAGCTAGCCTAGAAATGATATTTTATGTGAGAGAAGTTAATAACTCATCTATCAAAAATGAAGATAATACTTCACTGCCTCCCATAGCTGCTCTGAAAATATTCAGACAGTTTCTCAGACATTGCTGTAATAAATGAGCATTACAGTAAAGCTTACCAATAAATATTAAAAAACTGTACACATTTACGCTGTCTCCCTGCATGTCTAATTATTGCAAAATTGGACAGCTCTAAAAGGAGTGATGGGGAAGAAAGATTAAATCTATAGCCTGATGGCCAGTGGATCTATCTGGGATGCAGGACCCCCAGTTTCAATTCCCCGCTTCAGCAGATATTTAATTATTCACACTAAAAA